CATAACAGTGACTGTAAAATATGTATTTTAGGGATGGAAATTACATTTTTATATTTGGGACATGGTAATTGCGCTACTTAGGGCTGTTTTTTTTTTTTTACTGGCATGGGCTTGGGATGCACAATAAAAACGATGTAATAGTTGTGATCAATATTTTCCCTTCCATGATCTTTCAGACATGATCAGGTGCAGTACTGACACTGTCAAGTCTGCATCAAATCAAGCTCTCCGTAATCACAGGTAAACTGTCTGATCAGTCAGATGTTTGTCATGAGAAGTATTCCACAAAACAGCTATGGTTTGATTTGATATGACAAATACATCTTTTGAATACATGTTGTGAACTCATTGCCCCATTAGCTCGGAGAGCTTTATTTTCCCTCCTCAATAAGTTTTGTCTGTTGTTTTGTTTATTGGTCTAATTCTTGTTTCTTGGGTTGCATTGGTTACTCAGTTAATTCTCTTGTGCTTCATTCCCCACTTCTGAATTATGTTGTATTGATAAGGAGTTATCTCAAAGTAAGTCTGTTATCTTACAATCAGTATATAGTAAATGAAAGTTAAAATGTCGCCGTTGTAACCGGATAAAACTTGGAGTGGCGATGAGGTCTTAAAATGTATGGAAAGAGTCTTAAAAAAGGTCTTAAAAGGTATTAAATTTAACTCCATGATTCCTGTATATACCCTGTATTAAAAATGTATTCTACCAGTATTCTGTTCATTGGGTTATGATAACTTTTGCATTATATATTTTTTAGAGCTGTCAAGCAAGTATATATTTTTTATCTAATTACACAATGTAGTGAATAAATCGAATTGCACATCAAATTTGGTTGAGAAATTGCCCCTAAAAGGATCATTTAAAGTCATTATTGTGTTAAATTGGAAAAGCATCAAATAGATGTTACGAAAAGTAGCTTTAGAAAGAAATATTTGATTCAACATAGAATTTGACACACTTTTTTTAAAGCGGCATCTGAATTGGTATTTGGATATATTTACAGACCGTTTATTGCAGCTCAGCGGTGGCATGAATTCACTGCAGGTATGGTTGTATAAATAATGCCATGAGATTAACGGGATTTAAAAGGGAATTAAAGGGAAAATAAAAATTCTGTTATCATTTACTCACCCTTATTTGGGATGGGGGGAAAATCAATACAGCATAGTATCGCGATATTTTCCGTGACAATATGGTATCGATACACAAACGCCAAGTATCGATCTTATATTATACTATTTGGCAGAATAATAAAATCTATTTCTTTACAATCTACTAGATGGTGGTGTTAAGTTTTTTTTTTTTTCTGGTGAGGTCAGCTGGGTCACCTTCAGCATGCAGTAAGTTAGTAAAATAAAGATGGTGGCATCGCGGAAAGTTATCAGGCCCCGTCTGCGTTTAAATAGGACGTATGGACTTTGGATTTGTAAACACGGAGGGGATGTAAGTAGGGATGCACCGAATTTTCAGCAGCCGAAAATGGCATTTTCGGTTTTCGGCTGAAAGAGAAAAATGGGAAAACGGAAAATGTGAGCAGAAAATTTAGGCTACATATACTAATAATTATAATATATATGGCGCTCCGCACCCCGCCCGGCAGTGTTCAGCACGCAGGTTTCACTCTCCTCATCACTGTGCGGTTTGAAGCTCCGCTCTATGAATGTGCGTTCCGCTCGTATACCGCTCATGCTCACCGGAAAAGCAAAGTCTGCTCAAATAACGTGCTGACAAGGCAAGGCAAGTTTATTTATATAGCACATTTCGTACACGATGGTAATTCAAAGTGCTTTATATAAAAGAAATTAAAATAATCACAAAAATAAAACAAGGAATTTAAAACCTTTGAGAATGATTTAAAAATTGATTAAATGAATTTAAGACAGTTAAAAATAGAAAGTGATTATACAAACATAAAATACAGTGCAATCAGTTCGGACATCGCACAGTGCTCATTCAATAAATGCACAGCTAAACAGATGAGTTTTGAGTCTAGATTTAAATGTGACTAATGTTTTAGCACATCGGATCTCTTCTGGAAGCTGGTTCCAACTGCGGGCCGCATAATAACTAAAAGCGGACTCCCCTTGTTTTGTGTGAACCCTTGGTATTTCTAACTGACTCGATCCTAATGATCTGAGAGTCTGTTAGGTTTATATTCAGTGAGCATATCTGCAATGTATTTAGGTCCTAGGCCATTGAGTGATTTATAAACGAGTAAAAGTACTTTAAAATCAATCCCAAATGTAACTGGAAGCCAGTGTAAGGACCTGAGGACTGGTGTAATATGCTCAGATTTTCTGGTTCTGGTCAGAATTCTGGCAGCAGCGTTCTGGATGAGCTGCAGCTGTCTAATGGTCTTCTTGGGAAGGCCGGTGAGGAGACCATTACAATAGTCCACCCTGCTGGTGATAAAGGCATGAACAAGTTTCTCCAAGTCTTGACTGGAAACAAAACATCTAATTATTGCAATTTTGTTGAGATGATAGTATGCTGATTTAGTTACTGCTTTGACATGACTACTGAAACTAAGGTCTGTCTCCAGAATCACACCAAGATTCCTGACTAGATTTTTAGTTCTTTGACCCCTATAGTCAAGGTATGCATTCACCTTGAGAACTTCATCTTTGTTTCCAAATGCAATGACTTCAGTTTTTTCCTCGTTTAACTGAAGAAAATTTTGGCACATCCAACTGTTAATTTCATCAATGCATTGGCAGAGGGAGTCAATTTGGGCTGTAGTCATTTGGTGATAAGGCTAGGTAAATCTGGGTATCATCAGCATAGCTGTGATAGGCAATTTGGTTCTTTATATCAAGGTAACACTTTTCAATAAGGTTCCATTAGTTAATGTTAGTTAATGTATTAACTAACATGAACGAACAATGAACAATACATTTTTACAGTATTTATTAAGCTTTCTTAATGTTAGTTAATGAGAATACAGTTGTTCACAGTTAGTTCATGTTAATTCCGAGTGCATTAACTGTTAACAAGCACAACTGTTGATTTTAATAATGCATTAGTAAATGTTGAAATTAACATGAACTAAGATTAATAAATGCTGAAGAACGATTGTTTATTCTTAGTTCGTTAACTAAAGTAGTTAACTAATGTTAACTAATGAATCTTATTGCAAATTTTTACCAATATTAATATAAATTCTGTCCAGTTTTATTGTGTTACTTTCAGTAAAAGTGTGGTTATTTTATTGTCTTGTTTTTTTTTTTATTTAGCATTAAAATTTAGTTCAATTTAAGTTTTGATTTTCGGCCAAGTGCATCCAGAATTTTCGGTTTTCGTTTCGGCCCAGAATTTTCATTTCGGTTCATCCCTAGATGTAAGACTACATGTTTTATTTTATTTAACTTAAATGTATAACTGTAATTTACTTTCAAATGCCCCAATTGCTGAAGGGTCTGCACAACTTTTTAGTACAATTTCAAGTTGCACTGTTCAAAATACCTGTAGTAGCACAGCAGTGCATACCTGCTTACATTTAATTAAGGTGGACTAGATTAGACTGCAGTACAAATAGTTGAGTTTGCCAGGTGCATACAACATTTATGACAGGTTTTCATGAAAGTGTTGGTCAGTTTGTCTGCTTGACAATCCCATTTTGCACAGCAGCAATAAAACTGAAGTGAGATAAACAAACTGAGAAATGTTTATTTTTAGTTAAAACAGATGTTGCCAAAGTTTTCCTTTGGGGACATAATTTGAAGTTGGAAAAAGGTAATAAATTGCAATATATCGCAGAATATCGCAATGATATTGTACCGTGACACAAGTATCGTGATAATATCATATCGTGAGGCCTCTGGTGATTCCCATCCCTAACCCTTATGTCATTTCAAACCTGTCTGACTTTCTTTCAGAAAGTTTTTTGAAGCAGAATGAATATTATCATTTCATGTTACATTATAATATTTAAAATATGATAAATATAATAAATTAAATGTAAATGTAATTGTAGAATGTTTTTTGTAAATATTACTAAATTATTACAAATGTTGAATTAGCTAGAAGCCATAAATAACTAGTAATTTTTTTTTATCAAAAGCTGTATATCAAGCATTTAGACTGTCAGGGTGTTTATGAATGTTCTGTTGTATTGGTTTGATTTTAAACATGCTAAAAACAGTATGTCAGTGGTGAAAATGTTATGGTTCTGATATCAGTGACAGACTGCTGTTTTATATAGCTGTAACTTCACATCCATTCACCTCTTCTGACACCTTAGCATGGAACATCTCCATTGATACATTATGCAGAGTGACGTAAAGTCTGCAGGATGTTTCTAAATGGAGAGCAGTGACTCATGAGCTCCTCTAAACAACTGAAGGATGACACATTTTCTGGAGAACCTCATGTGCACTGCTTTTGAACTCTGTGTAGCAACTGAAAACATGTCCTGCTTTCACGATGTCGATAGTGCACAACAAGATGCTGATGTTGTCTTCTCTTTTTCATCTTCCTCCTCCATTGCAGTGAGTACAGCTCCGGCCTCAAAACAAGTGAGTGTTCCTCAGAGATGAGTTCTTTAGCATCTTCCTTGATGTTCATCGGTAGCACATTCACACATAAAAAGGTAAAAGTTCATAGAAAAGTTAAAAGATTCTTTTCTTCAGATGGGCAAAATGTCCAAGAACAAGAAGAAAAAGATGAAGAAGAAACAGAAGCGTCAGGCTGAGCTCTTGGAGAAGAGGATTCTAGAGATAGAGGGGCTGGAGAAATGCCCTGAGGGAGGAGAAGAGGAAGAGGAGGATGAAACTGAGACGCCCGAGAGCACCCCGTCAGTCCCCACCCTGCATGACATCACAGCTGAGGCCACACTGGGTGAGTGAACATCAACTCAAACATGTGATTATTAGTACTCTTAGAGCAAGTCATTCATTAACGGCTAGTCTATGGTAAAACAGTACATCGGGCAGGACATCCAAACACTCACCTATAATTCATCAACCTCAAATATGGCTTATCATGTGAAATACGCAAGTAGCAGCAACTTTACATGGACGCTCAATCTAATGTTAGAAATGTGCGCTATTCAGTGTCTGTGCGGAGTGTGGATGCTGAACAGTAGCGCTCACTGCAGGACAGATGGAGGCGCCGGTGCGCTCATTTGCTCTTAAAGTGCCCCTATTATGGATTTTTGAAAATTAACTTTCATGCAGTGTGTAACACAGCTCTAAGTGAATGCAAACATCCTGCAAAGTTTTAAATCTGAAAGTGCACTGTGTGTAAAGTTATTGTCTCTCAAATAAAGAGTCACCTCTGAATCATTGAAAAGAGTCGTTTTTAAAACGAATCCTAAGCCGTTTCATCTTGACGTCAACATGAAACATTAGCATATTGCCCGCCCACTTGTTGGTCTTTTCGCGTTGGTCTGAATGAAAATGCAAATTCATTCTTTGCCGCTTTTGGAACGGTAAAATAGCGTTTTCCCCAGTAACGTAGTAAACAAAGCAGCACTGCGCTCACAAACGCTGCTTTATCAGGCATTACAGGTATGAGGAAATGAAAATGAGACCAATCAGACCAATCACCACAGATTAGCGTCACACAAAGTAGGGGTTTGGAAAAATGAATCATTGAGCGAATCGTTTGGGAGTCATTGAGCAAATAAAGTAAAAATAAATGCATATTATAAGACAATGAGAGTGTTTTTTGACCTTGCATGCATGTCAACCTGTTATTGGGGACTCCCAAAACCAAAATATGAACCTTTCATTACCCATAATAGGGTCACTTTAAAATACTCCCTCATTTTTGGTCCTACAGATAAGAATAACACATCTTTCGCATCAGTAAAGACTCTACGTTTATTTGTGTGCACTCACAATAACAACAAATCATTGCGCTTTTGTAAAATAATGAAAGCAAACAGGATGCACTTTCTGCCGTCTCTGTCTCCGTGAAGTTGAGCGCGAAACTCTGTGTATGTTTGCCTTACAGACATAAAAAATATATATCTATCCACCTTTTTCTTGACGTAAAAATGGGTGTGGCCATTTGTAAATTCTATGGGTCTGGCTTCCGGTCTCATCTGCGTCCACTCCATCCAGCTATTTTTAGCTGCTCAAAACAGTTGGTTTTGCTGCTTGATATTGAAAGTTGGTGTGTCTTATATTATTTTAATGTATTATCTTAATTATGAACACACTGGTTTGTAGTGCAAACAGTTTTACATATAAACTGCACGTTATTATTCTCCTCGTTATTTACCTATAGCGGCTAATGAACCGGAAGTCTCACCCATAGGCTTACTTCCGAGTTGAAGAAAAAGGTGGATAGAGAGTGAAATGTCTACTTTCAAATAAACTAATTCAAATGGAAAACAAATATTCTCAGATTATGTAATCCGTATGAAACATGCATACAGGCGCATCCACTACTGCGGAGATGACGAGTCGGTGTCGCCGAGTTCATCTCTTAAATCGAAAGTTGTAAAAACTGTGTTTTGTTATTTGATCAATCTAGCAATGTACTCAGAACACCTTAGCAACAATTAATGCTCTAGCATCCATCAACAACACTGAGCATAGGCAAATACCAGTTAAATTTTCTTATACATTAAATGTTAATCTAAAGCAGTTACTGCTATTATTAATTATGAAATGACACACTGGGCTTTGTTGTGAGATATTCTGTAATGTAGCAGAATCTCTGCTGCTTTTCTTTGAGTCTAGCCACATCCTAGTCATTTAAAAAAAATCATGCTTCCAGCTACTGTCTTCATCAATTATAACTGGCGCTGCTGCGGTTGAGAGGCCGAGTACTGTGTCGAGACATATCAGTGTTTTTACTCTGAGAATGTGTTGAAATCAAACATATTTGAACTTTTTTCCACCCCAGATGGCATCTCAGATGGTTGGTCTCAGCACAGAGACGCCATCAACGGTCACAGCCAGGGCCCTGAGGAAGAGCAGACCCTGGATCTCCAGCAGCAGATGAAGGACGACACCCCCGTGAACCCCTATGACAGCGGCACCGAGGGCTCCGAGCCTACTAACCCTTACCCAGCGTGCAACGGCACCATAGAGAACGAGCCCAGTCCTCCGTCCCCTGTCGCCACAGACGGTAATGGACCTTTGATTTGTGGCATGGTTGAGTCACAGTGCCCTAGGGTGCAGGATCAAGAGAGCCCCACGGCGGAGCTGAACTGCTCCAGTTCTGTTGAGGGCCCCAGAGCGGAGATGGGCCTCACCATGGAGGTGGACCCCAGCGTGCAGGCGGCCACAGAGGAGGAGAGTCTGAAGGACGGTCAGTGCGGAGCCCTCGCTGGAAGTACACCCCTCTGTTTGCTCTTTACTAACTCCCCTCTTTCTCAGCCCCCCCCCCCCCTCTCTCTCTCTCTCTCTCTCTCTCTCTCTCTCTCTCTCTCTCTCTCTCTCTCTCTCTCTCTTTTTCTCGCTCTCTGTCTCTTTCTCTCTCTCTCTCCGTCTGTATGTTTTCCTACAGAGTCTCTAACACTGTCAGCTGAACTGGAATCACTAACAGCCTGACTTTGTGGTGTTGGATAATGTAGCAATATTTAACCAGGAAAGGGGCAGTTCACATAAAACATGAATTTGATGAAACTATAAAATTATAAAGTTGGAGTTCCTCTAGTCATATCAGGAAATTACTTTTAAATTTACAGGCAATGAAATTGATGGGTTTTAAAAGTAATAAACAAATAATCAGTTAGACTAAGGTTAAAAATAAATGAAAAACAAAAAATTATAAATAAACATTTTAATTATCAGTTATGTGCATAAAAATTATTTTGGAAAATAGGCAAATGCTATACAGTATATACAGATATAGTGTTATATGAATTACAAACTTTAATGGGGATTAAATAATATCATATTTTATATTTCATATTAAATGCATTTTTATATATTTTGGAATAATTATAATTTATATATATATATAATTTAAATAATCAAAAAGTTATCAAAATAGTTATATGATAGTTCTCCATTAGTTGTAGTACTACAATACTAAATTCTTTAAAAAGTCAAGGACATTTTAATGAATTGATGTTTCTAAATATTTCTAAAATATTTTAAGAGCTGAAGAAATTGCTGTGAATGCAGTTTTTTTTTTTTAATCATTAATTTTTCCATTACACATGAAAAAGGAAGGATAAAAGTAATGTAAATACAATGGTAGATGGACTGGGTTAGGAACCCTGAATTAAATGAACATGTTCGGGGTTTTTTTTTCAGGGAACTGTTCCTTTCTCTGTCTGTTATGGTGACGTTCATTCACATCAGACTGAAGTCATATTTGTCATATTTGCCTAAAAGTAATGCTTGTATAAATTGTTTCATTGAAAAATGGGTCACACTTTATTTTAAGGTCAAATTCTTGCTATTAACAAACCAGTAACTATGACTTTTGCCTCAAACTCCTAATTTGCTGCTTATTAATAGTTAGTAAGGTAGATGTTAAGTTTAGGTATTGGGTATGATTAGGGATGTAGAATATTGTCATGCAAAATATGTGCTTTATAAGTACTAATAAACAGCCAATATGTTAATAATAGGCATGCTAATCAACTAGTTAATAGTGAGAATTGGTCCCTATACTAAAGTGTTACCAAAAAATGATTTCTTATTGCTGTTGTCTTGAAGTCTTATGAAATCATCCTTTCACATTCTTAACACACTCGTTTTTTGTCCTATTGTGCATTATTAATCAGTGCATGTTAATCAAAACAAAAATCTGTTTATCTTTCATCAAAAAGCAATAATGAGCTCCAGCTGTGAAAATACTTTTTTTAATCAAAACGTGTTTATTACAGCAATTACGGAATTGTATGTTATAGCAAATGTGGCGTTTTATTCTCAAACAGATGGTTTATTGAATGAAGGCTGTGTGGATCAGATAAGAGACTGTTAATAATGAGCTCCAGGTTTGAAAATTTTTTTTTTTTTTTTTTTTTTTTGGCTGATGTCAACAGTCTGTCTTATGTTGCATTCGTTTTAACTTGGAAAGTTGTAATTTCCAACTTCCTCGTGGGAAAAGTGCCACTTGAAGTCGGGCTTCCCATTTATAGACTTCACATGCACATAGTGACACACAGTTATTCACAATAATGATCAATAATGACAAATGTTCATTTTTAAAGTTTGGAAGTGCATCACATTATGTAAGTATTAGCTGTCGATTGTGGTTTCATGTTGACTTGAATTCCCGGTGGTTTGATTTCTATGTTACAGGATAGCCCATTTCAAGTTTCACTCAGTTAAAGGTGCACTAAGTGATTTTTGCCAAATTATATTGTTATTTGAAATCACCAAAACAAACAAGCCCATACCCCAGCAGGACCTCACCCCTATTTTGAAATCTCTGCCCCACACGTACGTACACAACCATGGCAGCGACGATCACGGAAACAAGTGAAGATGACACAGGCATATTCAAACAAAAGCCAACACGGATAAGTTGTGTGAAACAAAGCAAAATCAACGTTACTCGCCTATCAAGAAGAAAAAACAACACAACCTCGGCGTATGATTCCAGGCCTTCCCACTCATCGAGTTCTCTCCACCGCTGGAAATCTGCTCCGATATTTACGCGGGTCCTACCTCTTTCCTGATCATAACCCTTCTTTTTAATGTTTCCTCAGAGATATTTTCATTTTTTTTTTTATCTGCCATCTCTCTCTATCTATAGTCGATTTGCTAATATCCGTCCTGTGCACTCAAATTGAGCGCTCTCTTCTCTCTATCATAACAAGACATGCCCCCTTACTGCTGATTGGCTACAAATGTGTTTTGGGACTCGGTCCGACGCTGTGGTCAGAAGCATTTTTCAAATATTGCTTAGTGAACCTTTAAAGGCAGGGCAAGTGATTTGATTCAAAACATTTTTTTGTTATGCTGGTTTAAAGTCTCTTCACATCCCGGTAGCAATCACTAAATTAAGTGGTCTAAATGAATTTATATGTATTTACATTGTCTGTGGAAGGCATAGGACCATAAAATGTTCGTCCAATCAGATTGTTTGGTCCGATGACTACGATTGGCTGTCCTACCTGCCTGTAAACGTATGTATTTGCATACGTCCAAGCGCTCTGTTCGCACAGACATGATACGTCATCAGCGAGTTACATTACGCTATTGCAGACCAAGCTAGAATTGACGGCGTTATTATTGTAATACTATGCACTTTGTAATGTAATGTTTTCTCACTGGTGAACAAGACATGAGGAGATAATCTGACAGCGTTGCATTCGTCTCTCATGGTGTTGCTGATTAGTCTCTGGTCTGCCTGTGCATGTTCATATGTTTTGTAGGAGGTGTGGCTTTGGAGAGTGATTTGCAGGGAGGGTGAGAGCTTATGCTTTAACTTTCTTTCTGAAATTGTCTAGCCTACATTTAAATCAATAAGACAAGCAGTTAACCACAGGTTACCGGTGTTCTAGTGCCTTCATCATGATGGTCTGGTTTTTCATTGCTGATATGGATTAATAGAGAGCCGCTGCATTAGTCTCAACATCCTACAAGGCTTTATAATTCAGCAAACACATTGAACCTCACAGGAGCCAATCCAGAATATGTGTGTGTTATTGACTCTAAAACCATCTTTCTCGTTCTTCTCTTGTACTGCAGCTAAGATTGCAGCAGGAAACCTGCTAGTCGACCCCCTGGATCCGCTAAACACTGATAAGATCCGAGTGAAAATCGCTGACCTGGGCAACGCCTGCTGGGTGGTGAGTGTGGAGTTTTCCTTGCATTTACACCAGAAACCGCTCAGTAAGAGTGTTAAAGTGATAGTCCACCCCAAAACAAAGATTCTGCCAACCTTTAACTCAATTGATTGATTGAGATGCTGATGTCTCAGTTGCTGCTTCTTTGTAATTCTTGTTTGTCATCATCAGCACAAGCACTTCACAGACGACATTCAGACGCGGCAGTATCGCTCTCTGGAGGTGTTGATTGGATCAGGATACAGCACCCCAGCTGACATCTGGAGCACAGCTTGCATGGTGCGTTTAAAGACAGCCGAATGAGATTTAGAGTGCTTTCACACTAGCACTTTTGGTGCACACCCGGGTTCGATTGACATCAGAGTTCGGTTTGTTTGGATGATGTGAACGCTGTCTTCCGACCTCGGGTGCGCACCCTCGAACCGTACCCGAGTCCGCTTAAAAGGGTGGTCTTGGGGTATGGTTCATGTGAACTCCGGTATGATTCGCTGCTGATGTGAAGTGAACCGCTTATTAATGACGTATTATTTGAGAAAAATGTGTGTTTGTGTGTTTCACTCACTTTCCTCACGAGCGTGACTGGCGTGCTGCAAGCAGAGAGCTGTATATCTCATTCCTGTTTGCCTTTAGCAATCCTTGGAGCATTTGCAGTACATTCGTAAGACAGACGTAAGTGTCGTTATGCACTGAAGCTTTGTAAACAAAACGAATGGTACAAAAGCGCAGAGAGCAATGTTATGCATTTTGCCGCTTTCTCCTGCGCCGCCGTTACTAAGCAATGGGGTGAACGGCTGCTAACTTGATGACGCAAACTAACCGCGGATCGGAACCAAATAAAATAATATGAACGCAGTGGGAGGAGGGAGTAATCGATATTTGTATTTTTTTTTTTATGTATGTACATTTATAACACTGTTCTTTGTATTATATCACCTTTGCATCAAATTACAAAAAAAAAAAACGGTTAACGCTAATGCGAGGGGGTTTTTAATGCAGCGTCTATGGGAGGGACGGTAAATTTGACATCGTTCTCTCTTCTGACTGCCGTTATCAGTCTCTCTCAATTTTTTTTCTTTTATTGAGAGTCATGAAAACACTATCGAGGAGTTTTTCTTTTGCTATTTGAGCAAATGGGAATGCACAAAATATATTTGTGGTACTCTCCCCCATTCACTGCTCTTCAAGTTAACCCAACTATGACGACTTCCGCTGCTGAGAAACCCGGAAATGTGAAAAGGGTCCATAAATTTGGTTTTAGTTTTGCGTTAACATTTTACTAAAGTAATGATTCGATACACAAATTTAATTCCAGTAGTTCTGCATTAGCATGTTGCTAAGGTAGTGACTCGATACCCAAATTTCGTTCTAGTAGAGTTTTGTTAACATTTTTCCTAAAGTAATGACTTGATGCTCAAATTTGATTTTTATAGTTTTGCGTTAGCATTTTGGTAAAGTAATGATTCAATAAAAATGTTTTAATTCCAGTAGTTTTGCGTTAGCATGTTGCTAAGATAGTGACTTGATATGCAAATTTGATTAGAGTAGCTTTCTGTTAGCATGTTGATAAGGTAATGAACTCTGATTTAATTCCAATAGTTAAGCATCAGCATTTTGCTAAAGTAATGACCCTGATTTGATTCCAGTAGTTTTGTTAACGTGTTTTTAAAGTAACGACTTAACACTCAATTTTGATTTCTGTAGTATATTAGCATGTTGCTGACGTTATGACCAGGGATTGAAATTAACTTTTTCACTCACCAGCCAATTTGGCTACTAAATTAAGTTACCGGCCATTCATAACTTCTACTAGCCAAAAACAAAACAAAAAAGACAGAAATACACCAACAGTTTGAGGCCGTCTACACTGGGCGTGACAAAGCGACCGTTGCAAATCATTTTGTGTCAGTACTAGGGGTGTGCGATATTGACAAAAAATAATATCTCAATATTTTCTGTGATTTTATCGATAAAGATAATGAGACGATATTTTGCTGAGTGTGTTATTGTGCTGATAGCTTAAGGACTACCGTGGACAGCTGACTCAAAGTGTTTGATATTCTTCATATTCTGTGTGGTCAGTTCACAGCAGTGATAGAAATTAATCTTTGCAGAAGTTGCATATGAAGTGGCATTTAGATGCGTTTACACGTGTTAATGCAGCTTAGAGGGACGTGGAATGCTTTAAACTGCAGTTACAAATGCATAAATAATGTTTTGATATTTAAAACATGAAATTATTTTAAAAAATGAAAAGAAACTTTAAAAGTGAAATTAAAACCGCCAGTAGGTGGCAGCAAGTCACTGTTAAGTGAGTCATTGCGATTGAACCGAATCATTTAAACGGTTGATTCATTCAGGAACGAAACAACGTCATGTTGCTCAGAGACGCACAACAGTACTGTGGCTGTGTTTGGAATGTTTTTTGTTGGCGAAATAGCGCAAAAACAGCCAATATGGCGTTTAAAACGTAAGTGTCTTGATATTAACTTGGTTTATTGAACTGTTGTATAAAATAAATATCACATTTATAACCATGCTGATTTTTTCTCTTCGTGTGATATTGATTAACTATATGAATTGATATAAATATATAAGTTTTCTGCCTCCTTATCTTGAAGTATGTGATCATTGTTAATGCATATTAATAGACTGAATCGTACAGTGAAAGAACCACTCTAAATGCGCACGCGCACTAAATCCTGTGTTGGTCATCACATCGCGTGTGCGTGCCTCTGTAGGTGTGTTTTGTTTAGCTTTTGCAATATACTCGATAATGTCATGATGTCTCACAAGTTCAGTATTTGCGCTAAACCTGCGCAGATTTGGCCTGCATGAACTTCCCCAAGAAATTAATGAGTGAACATAACTTACGAAAAGTAACCCGCCAAATTGGCTAGGGATTTGACAGCGTTACCCGCCACAGCTGATTTTTACCCGCAGTTGGCGGGTGTTAATTTCAAACCCTGTTTATGACTTTTTTTGGGCACTATTTTGGAATCTCCTTAGTGTCTTAAAATGCTGTGTAGGTCGGCTGCTCAGCAGCTTTTGGAACAGAGCTAATTTCCTGTCAGGCTGAAGTCACAGGTGTCAGAGGAAGGTGACTCTATGACTGACTCTCAGAGCGTTACATTGAGTGGTGCTGACGCTGCTCCCTCGGCCTTTTGTCCTGCTTTGCGCTGCACAGACTCTGCACCTTTTTAAGCAGTAAGGCCAGACCCACCGAGAGAGGTTAAACTCTGTCTGTATCAGAATTTCAAACCCACTGCGTAACAATAGTGTTGCGAGCTGCACTCGCTTCAGTCAGCCTACTACCTAGAGAATCTGATAATAGGATCGCTATGTCCACACACACATGCATGCCTTCTCAAAGTGTCTCTCTCCCTAGGCATTTGAGCTGGCAACAGGCGATTACCTGTTTGAGCCTCACTCCGGAGAGGATTATTCCAGAGATGAAGGTAATTATTCTTCCACAGCTTGGGATTCAACCCACACAACTTTAGCAGACCCGCAGCCAATCAAAAGCTCCAGCACATAAACAAACAGTAGCATCTGGAGAACAAATCACACTGCGCCTATTAATTAGCACTTGAACGAGAGCCATTACTAGACACTCAAGCACAGTGTAATATTTGCGCTGTCATTATGGAGGTGGCACTAGGGAGTGAATGGCCAGAGAGGTTTTGGCCTCTGAGCTGTTTTAAGAATAAAACCATGTCTCCTGAAGTTTTAGCAGTTTTTGCGTTGCTGATTGGTCACAGTATTCCTGCTGTGCTGAAATAGGGATGCAGAATATATCAATACCACAGCAGCCTTAATTTATCAGTTTCAGTCGATGTCCTATGTTTTTGTGCATTTAATTTTTACACTTAGATTACTTTTGCCATCATTAACACTCACTTAAGGGTTCCTCTTTAAAAAGACTAATAATTTGATCTTTAACATTTAACCTTTTTTCATATGGTACATAATAATACTTTATTTTAAGGTGTCCTTGTTACACGTTACATGTACTTACTATTATAATAACAATAAATTATTCATAATTACATGCAAGCAACCCTAGACCAAAACCTCATCCTAACCCTAACCATATAGTAAGTTCATGTAGTTAATTAATAGTATTCAGTACTTAGGCCCGCTCACACAGTTCTCAAATCGTCGTCGCTTTTTTTACGTAATTGTTATCATTTGAGTGTACCGTCGTTTCAGTGGTTTGTGCTCTTGCCGATTTATCTAACAACCACTTTTCGATCAATATCCGTCATATCACAGGATGGTTTGAATTGATTTATCTTCTTAAGAGTTCCACTTCTCTGTTTTCTTAGTGTTTGCAGTAAATCGCACTCCGTAGCTGTTTGTACTGTTTTTTAAATTTTTTTCCATTGTATTAAAAAAAAAACGATTGTTGATCGCAGCTTCCTTCGAACTGTTTCCCATATCTTTCATTCCAGAGAAAAGAGCGACGGCTGCCGAGTGCCTCCGTCATTCCTGGATCGCCACCTAGTGGCCAAAAAGCTCCGAAGCGTGCACACACACTCTCACACGCCCATGAATGCTCCCCACTGACAGACGCCGTCTTAGGAGCCGAGCCTGGAGTCACGGCAGATACAAGAAGGTCCGCTCACACAGTTCTCAAATCGTCGTCGCTTTTTTTACGTAATTGTTATCATTTGAGTGTACCGTCGTTTCAGTGGTTTGTGCTCTTGCCGATTTATCTAACAACCACTTTTCGATCAATATCCGTCCTATCACAGGATGGTTTGAATTGATTTATCTTCTTAAGAGTTCCACTTCTCTGTTTTCTTAGTGTTTGCAGTAAATCGCACTCCGTAGCTGATTGTACTGTTTTTTAAATTTTTTTCCATTGTATTAGATTAGATCTGTTGTCATTGTGGAGGAAACCGGAATGATCTTTAAGATTTAACGGAGTCTTTTAGTAGACGCAAATTTAAATTATAGTAAAAAAAAAAAAAAAAAATTGTTTTAAACCGTTTTTGAGAAATCAGTCGAGTGAGTGAATCAACGACTCAACACGAAAAGTCGCTAGTGTAAAGTGATGGGAGAAATTGAGCTTCAAATCAACTGAACTAATAGCTTCGCAAAACGTTTCACTGAAGCGTTCGAAACATCAAATACTGGTGCCCCTGCTGGTCAAAATGGGGTAAATGCAATGAAATCTCAGGCCAAACATGCATAAACAAGCTTTTAGAAACCCAATGCAAATGTTTTATTGACCGTATAATCTATCAAATGCAACTAACTCATTTATCTAATACCATTAAATATTAAGTGTCGGTATAATACGTGCTCTTTTGTCAATTTTCAGGGCTTGTTTTGTATGTTCTTTGGATGGCTCATGCCAAACAGGCCAATAAAAAAGCAAATTAACTACTATTACTATTTTTATAGAAATAATAATTATTCCTTTTAATTATACAAATGTCTCGAAACGTCTACACGTTTATAAAACTGACTCGAGATCAGGTAAATCTTATTTTTTTGAAAACAATTCCAAAATGTAAAATATCAACCTTCCTGCAAACCTGCAGCTTTAAAGATATGATTATGCTGCAACAGGTCCTCGCGTGATGTGAATTTGCAGGTCAGAACCCACCAAACTTCAGATTTGGAATGCTAGTAAAATGCAAAACGCCTTTGCATGATCTTGTGTTTCCAAGTTTGCGTGTGAATGAAAGTGAATGGAACAGAAATTGTAAGTCCAACTGCTCCTTACCATTGTAGCTAGCAAAAAGAGCCGCTGAATGAATCAAGTAACAAAGCTGAATCTTTTAAGTGAACAGATTCAAAATTCCAGTCACTGGCTCTATGAGTGAAAGGCCCCACTTACAGAGTGGAGCAGGGTTTTGGACCAATGAGATTCGCTGTGGGCAGGGCTGGTCAATGTGACATCATATAAATAGAAATGTCAAGTTCATTCCTGTTGACCGATTTCTTTTTTTACAAAACTCAAAAGTGATTTTTTTTTTTAAACACATTTCCTCTCAAGTTGGCTTTGGTCTCAAAATATGAAATATCTCGATGCAGTTTATATATTAGAAATCATGCTTGAAGTAACCTTAAAGGTGGCAATTACTTACTACAGACACGAGTAAATTAAGATATATATTTTCCTTCATATTTCTCGCAAAGTGGCCCAAAAAACCCACAGGGTCCACTGATGCGCAGGGGATCTTCCTGCTGCCTCTAAAGACAAAAAAGAGCTCTAGTAGTTTCTCAACAACATTCACAGCCTTGTATGAGGAATATGCGAACAGGGAATATCATGATTAATAGTGTTTTTCTGTGTTGTTGCAAGTGGCTGAGCACGCTAATGAAAGGCACACAAATGTACACAAATCTGTCACGGCTAATAGAATTAATTTTACTAGCGCTGCATGTTGGAAGTGGGCTCTCTGTGATTACAGAGCTCTGCCACGGCTGTTACATAGAGCAAAAAAGGAATCCTGACTCTCTGGGCATTGATATTTTTACACCGCAGAAGATACATTAGCTTTTTTCTTCTTCTTTTTCAAAAAGAAGCAACTTTACATCAGCATGAGATGCCAGCTTTGGGTAGATCAGATCAAATGGTGAAGGCTAGAACATAGGGTGCTGTAAAAAGAAATGAAACACCCTCTGCCCCGTCTTTCTTATATTATTTAGAGGAACAGTTCACCAAACAAAAGAAATTTGTCATTATTTACCCCCACTGATGCTATTTTAAACACATATCACTCTCTTTCCTCTAAACAATTAAAGGGAGAGTTCACCCAAAAATGAAAATTCTGTCATTAATTACTCAGCCTCATGTCGTTCTAAACCCGTAAGACCTTCGTTCATCTTCGGAACACAAATTAATATTTTTGATTATTTTTTTTATTCCGTGTCAGCTGCGTCACGTGGACGAATTGTTGAATAAAGTCGTTATTTTTGTTTTCTTTGTGTACAAAAATTATTCTTGTAGCTTTGTAAAATTACGGTTGCACCCCTGATGTCACATGGATTATTTTACTGATGTCCTTAATATGTTTCTGGACCTTGATCGTGGTAGTTACCTTGCTGTCTATGGGAGGGTCAGAGAGCTCTCAGATTTCATCAAAAATATCTTAAATTGTGTTCTGAAGACGAATGAAGGTCTTACGGGTTTGGAACGACATGAGGGTGAGTAATTAATGACAGAATTAAAATTTTTGGGTAAACTAACCCTTTAAGGTAACCAGTGCTTGGTAGTAACTGATTGCATGTAATCTGGATTACATAATCAGATTCCGCAAATTAAGTACTTGTTATTAGATTATATTACGTGTTGCATTAAATGACCAAATTACTTTTTATGGATTACATGATTGCATATTAACACAACAACATACATAAATGTGAAACTCAATCCCATTCAAATGTGATAAACAAATAGGTCAAACGTAATCAAAAAGTAGTCCGAGTACATGACTTAAAATGTGCAATCTACAGTGTTGGGGAAAGTTACTTTTAAAAGAAATGCATTACAATATTGCGTTACTCCCTAAAAAAGTAACTAATTGCGTTACTTTTTATGGAAAGTAATGCGTTACGTAACTTTTGCGTTACTTTTTTGTATTTTGTATATTTGTGGTGTTTAACATTTAATTATTGCAGGTTTGCGTCATATTCTGAGTTGCATTATTTTTATTCATTTTGAGGAATACTGAATCTTGTGAGTGAGATGAATTAATGCATATTCATATTTATTTTAGAACTACAGTAACATCTGATTTCTCTCAACATGGGGACAGGAGAGCTGTCAATCAATACATTGGGGGGAAAAAAGTAACTTGCGTTGCTTATTTGAAAAAGTAACTCAGATATTCTCTTGTAAATTAAAGAGTAATGCGTTACTTTACTAGTTACTTGCGTTACTTGTAATGCGTTACCCCCAACACTGGTAATCTAATAGATGACGCGACTAATTGCAATTTTTGTCATGTAGTTTTGTAATCAGTAATCTAGCCAGTACTGAAGGCAATTTATAGTAGTCTATACCTTTCTTCACCTCCACCTGGAAGTCTGCCCGGTTGCCCAGGACGAAGACCAGGAAGGATTATATGAGGGAGTCCATGATGCTGATGATGGCCAGAATGTACACCCAGCGCACCGTGCAGTTACCCAGCGTGTATTTATCCATCCGCTGACAACACATCCGCTTCACCTCCTCTGAGTCCCAGCCGTCAGGATAGATCATGCAGCCTGTCACCATACAAGTCGCTGAAGATGGAAAAGAAACCCAGTCAGGTCAAAATTAAGCGAAGGGATTGTTTACATTTTTTTTTACATTTTTGTTGTTTCTTATAGTGTTTTACAATGGTTATATTATAATTGTTTACAATTGCAAACAGATTCATTAAATAACTTTTGTTTTTCCAGCTATAGTTCTGTTCAGAATTGAAACTACACCACCGTTCAAAAAGTTTGTGGTCGGTAAGAAATGTCCTAACACTTTTATTCCAAAAGCATGAAGTAAATTGGTCAAAAGTAACAGTACAGACTTTACATTGTTAG